TTCTTGTTCTGCTAGTAGTTATGCAACATCTGTTTCCGTATGAGGAAAGACTATGAGCAAAGAGCTCTGCCTCTTTGGAAAATACTGAATTTCCACTGAGTATAGAATAACTGAAAACTGGTATTAGTTTATTAGCACCACTAACTTCCTTTTCATAATCAGTGACTTGTATCTGTCTTACTTATGTAACAAATGTGATATTATTATTGTTACTGTTGTTGTTTATACCTAAGTGAGGTGATGCTTTTTTCGGAAAAAGAGGAACGTTCCAGGAGACAAATATTTGTCTTTTTTAGTCATCTGACTGAGCCTTGTTGGAAGTTTGGGCTTTTGAGAAGAGAATGGGAATCTTCAGAAGCTGTGCATAAAAATTCATTGGTACTTGTTCTACATAAATGTGCCTTAGCCTTCCTCATTTATATGTAGAAATTTTGATGGTCTTCAGACCTTTGTGAGTAGAGGAGCAAGAGGCTATAAATTTAGTTTAATTGTTTTCCCAGTGTTCTGACAGAATCGAGGCCAACTTGGTGAGCTCTCCAAGCTCTCCATGTTCTTTCTCCCTTGTTTCCCTTGGAAGAGAAGGTAATTGGCTCTGTAATTCATTAATGCTGATCTTCTTTAAAATGAGCAGTAATAGAAAAGACAATGAGTATGAGAAGTTAAGCCATATGTTCCTGATGCAGTTGGAACTGTGTATGAGCAGGAAGTCTGTGACCAAATACTGCTGATTGCTTCAATAAATGCCAGTTTGTTTTGTGTCAGATTTACTGTCCAGAGTCAGCAAACCAGTGACTACCTTGAATTGAGCATGACTCAGTTGTAGAAGGTGAATCAAACCTTTAAAGATAATATTTGTGGAGCTCCTCCTCTTGAGAGTCTAGGATCGATTGCATGTTGCACAAGCCTAAGGTGCAGTCGATGGTAAAGGTGGCACAGAAATCAAACCAGACCCAGCCTTATTGTAAGGCTCCAAAGCCAGCTGGACCAAAATGCAATACTGCACGGGAAACTTTTGGACATGGTGATTTAAATTTACATTTACAGAGAGGGAATATCTTGTGAGGGGTATGCTTCCTGATTCACCTACCAGTCTGCTTCTTGTTTAATACACATAGCTTACTGTTACTCCAGTGACACAGTATTCTGTGACTGCTTTAACTGGTCCTCTTTGTAGGTGTTTGAACACGAGCCCATTAATTTAAAAAGAGTATTTAATTTTGTTAACCCTTTTATCTTAAAAAAATAAATAAATAAGTAAAAAATCCCTGGACTCAAACAGTTAAGAAAAGGATTCTTTCTGCAAGCAACCTCCAAGTGTTTTCTAATTTTATATTCACATACCACAACTTAAAATGATATTGCAGAGTCTGACAACCTCATTGCCAATTACTTGCTCAGCCTTAATGATAAGAAATTGGCCAGTTTTAGAACATGGTGTTTTCAGGGTCTAATCCAGAAACCTGCTGGAATGTGTCAAAATTAATAGTTCGGAACGCAATGACTGTACTTTCAAATTTGTATCGGCAGTTCAGCCACACCTTTAAAAATAAAAGAAAATAATAGAATAATTTATATATATATATATATATATTTTTTTTTTTTTTTCCAATTGGAAAATACTGTTACACTGGACCCTAGGGGAATTAAAAAAAAAAAATCTGTAGGTCCTTTAAAATCTTTAAGAACTTCAGCATTTTTGACTTCATTTGTTTCAGTCACCTTGCATCTTCTGTTGGGTTTCATGATGATCTAGTGGGAATACAGCAGCTTCTCCTGTCATTGTTTTGCTCTTCTTTATGAAATTAGAAACTCATTACCTCTGGGCCTGATCCTTTCTAAGCAATGATCCTTTCAGTTTCTGCATGTGCTTCTGAAGGTTGCAGGTGTCTTCTCCCATTCTACCTGGCAGGGAAAGCCTGTGACGGTGCTTACCTTTTTTACCTTTTACTCAGTGCAGCCTGAACTGACTTCAGTCCTCAGGACAGGCTTTGTCCTCTCTTCAGTCAGCTATGTTGAAATATTCATGCTGGCTCTTGGTGAAATGAAACTCAGTGGTCCTCTGTGAGCTGATTTATATTGCCACCTGGGAAGTCAACAGCCAAGTTACAGCATCTGGAAGCTGTGCTGGAAACTGTAGAGCACTCTTCAGAGCTCAGTGAGATCCCTGAGGTAGGCTGGCTATGAAGTGAATCCTAAGAAAAACAAAAAATGATGTGATGAACTTCTGAAAATTGTGTTTTGAGGCTTCTGGACGTGTTACACAATGAGCACGAGGTCTTTAGTACTGTTAGTACTGTTTAGTACTACAGCTGTTTGACTTCACAGATGTGCTCTTGTTATACCAGCCTACCTCCTAAGCTAGACAAAACATTACCTTAACAAGGACAGCGTGGATCTCTGTGCTAACATCCCTAGCCTGCTAGTAGTACATACACATGGTTGTGCCAGTACAGTACTACTAATTATACACTACTGCTAAGTACAATATAGTGTCTTGAGATCCATACTAAATTCTGTGTGGACATACCCCGAGATATGAGAGTCCTACCAGTCTCTAGCTCAGGTGCAGCTTATCATCTGGAGTGAGCGTATGATGTATTTATTTCCATTAATATTCAGGTTGGAAGGGAAGGGAACTAATTTTTGGGGTTTGGACAACTGAAGGAACACTGTTCCAGATGCCTAGAGCTCCCACCCTTGCTACCACTGTGACTTTCTTGTTTAGAGACAGATTTCCTCAAAGCTTGTTTACGAGAACACCAGTTTATTTGGGTATCTGCGTTAAACCAGAAACATCTTGTACTCTTTCCGTTCTCATTGTTTAAGTTCTGCATGAACAGGTCATCTTAAATACTGCACAGTGTATCATTTGAAATGTCCAGCATGTGATTTTTGGCTCCTAGATCTGTTATGCAAATCAAAATCTGATTGTCCTGAAGACTGAGCTTTCTGCTACAGTCTGAACAACGCTGAAATTTCTTGGTTTTGGAAAACCGAATTTCCTGTTGTGTCCGTCTGGCGCATACGGCCGAGAATTCACTAGCATCACCAGAGCGATGGAGCAAGCCAAGAACAAACATTTGGCATGTTCCAAGCTGAAAAAGCCTCATTTCAAAATCAAAACATGCATATGCGTGTACTCAGAATGTAGTAAATGCTTAAAAGCTGGACCAGAATGAAAAACGTGTCAGTATTACTGCTGTCACTTCTTCAGTAAAGGTTGCATCAGCCATGTTTTTCCCAAGACAAGGTTTGTGAGCTGGAATTTTTCTTCCCAGTGAAGCGAGTGAATAACAAGCTTTTCAAAGGAGCTGAAGTGCAGTAGGTCCATTATGAACCTCATCTTAATTTAAATCTGTCATGGCTGCTTTCATCCATTTTACAGGTATCGGAGACGTCCCAGTTTCTTCTAAGGATCATCTGTCTCTCCCTTTTTTCATGGGTTTGGCTTCCGAGACCTGAGAGTATTTCTTGGTTGTTTTGTTGTTGGTAGTTTTTGCTTCTTTTTTTTTTTTTCCACATAGATCTGCCAATAGCTGGATACCCAAGATACAGAAAAGAGTTCTGTTTAGTCAGTGTGGACAGAAATTAAATCTTCCTAATACAGCTTTTCAAAAATAGGCCATATTGAAATTGCCTTGGCTTCTCATGGTTTCGGTTCTTACTGGTCTGCATCTTCTCTGCAGGCAGGCTTTTGGCTCTTGTGCTTTAAGGCAAGTGATAAGAGGCAAGCATGGAAGAGTTTGGGGAGGCTCATGAGTCCTTCACTAGTAAGGAAGTTCAAAAAAAAAAAAATCACTGTTTATGCAAAAGAAAAAAATCTGTTAAAAAAGAGAGTAGTAGCTTGTAGTTGACTGTGTGTTATACCTAATAGTGTAGACCATGGAATTAGCATAGGTTGTTACTGAGTTGATGACTGAAGGTGAGAGTAGTGTTACTGGCAGAAGTTGTCTTTTTAACATGAACATAGGCTAATTCTCCCCAGGCAGATACAGCTGCCAAACTTCTACGCAAGATCCTCAGACCTTTCATTTTCATGTCATGATCACATATTTTTCTTGAAAAACTTTTTTTTTTTTCCCTGAATTTTAAAGATGTTACAAAGTTCAGAATGTTTGCTGGAACGTAACTAATTAACAATTTTTTAAAAGAGCTTCAAATGTCAAGATAAACACACACAGTAAGTGCCAGATAAAATAAAAATGAAATATTGAACAGAATTAGTCATACTTTAAGATTGTGCCTCTTGATTCTGAAAGTTTTGTTTTAGAGCAAGTCCCATTGGACTCATCAGAATAATTTCTCTGTTTTGAACTGGATTTCCTGTTCACATATGAAGTAATACTTCAGGAAAGGTTTTCCTGGCTGAAACATACAGTGATAATAATATAAAGAAAAATAAAGATACTAACCTCATTTTACATTTCTAATTGGAGAGAAAACATTTATCATTTGTTGCGTGAGGAGATGGAACAGGAAGTAGCCTCTTACCAATTTGTATTATATGCACAAAATCCCCTATATTCTTGTCCAGAAAAAAAAATAAATCTAATTTTAAGAACATGCATGTCTCACTAGTCATCATAAAAACAATGAAAACATTAGTAGCTGAAGATTTATTTTTGTTAATGCATTTAATTACACAAGTTAACCATGCACAAAATAAAGGCTTTCCAAGGCAAGCTGAAGTATCAAGTATCCAATAACGATGAAATGTATAAACTGAGATTTGGATGGGGAAAGGTGTTGGGATTCTGTTAGGGAAACTGTCATTTGTAGTGGACCAGGATGTGAAGCTTAGATAACTTGGCCTAATCATTCTGCACATGCAATCTAATTTGATGAGTAGTTGATCTTCATTAATTAAGTAAAACTGATTTAAGGCAGTCCATCTAGCAAGTGACACTTGCAGTAATGCATTTTTCTAATTTGTTGGTTCACTGGTTGTTTCTGAGCATGGATGATATACGTATTTCATCATAATTAATTTGATTTTATAGGCCAAATCCTTGTTTGGTGACCAGAGCTGCTTATCTCGATGTCCTTGTGATGCTGAGTACTCACCTGGGAAAGTTCCAGAAGCAAGGTAAGTCAAATGTGCTGCTCTAGAAATCAGATTGAATATCTATGTGGAAACTTCTAAGTTGTGTTGAATCTAGAGAGACAATAATATATTACTTGTACGTGCGGTACCCACTGAGTGTTGGAGTCCCTCAGGTGATCCAACTGCTTCATATAAAAGGGCCATTTATTGTGTCTTCTGTAGAGCTAGTCCTGGAGACCGGCGATGAGAAGAATGGGATACTGCTCTGGGTCAAAGCCTGAAGCGATGATTTTGCAGTATTCCTAATTCTAGAACTGTGTAACCGCAGAAAACATGCCCTCCAGTTTCCCAAAATGTTTTGTTGAACCAAGGCCGTGAAAACAAACAAACCACAGAACATTCCTGCTTTAATCTTTCTCCAAAACCATGGAGACCTTCTGAGACACCTGGAATTCTTTCAGACAAATCGCATTTTTTCATATTTAGAAATTTTATAAGAAAGAACTAGGAGAACTTCTCTAAATTTCTCTTTTACATTGATTTGTTATCACTGTCAAGTTTTTGAAGGACCAATCAGAATTATCAGCTGGTTTAATGATTGCAATGTGTTGTTTGCAGCAACACAAAATGTACTGTAAGCTATAGGGGAAAAAAAAGGACGGGAAACCCTCCCGAGTGTGACTGTGCATAGGCAACTTCAGGTCAGGTGTAACTAGCTTCCTTGTGTGCCTGTTCTGTTCAGTTCTTAAAAGCAACAGAATAATAAATTACCTCATCAGTCTAGGAAGGCAGTTAAAGAATAGTTCTTTTTTTTTTTCATTAAAATTATTAGTGACTAACTATAATACTGCATTTAATGCATTGGAAGAGTTCTTCATGTCACATAGTCTTCTTTTGAGGGCTGGTCATTTTAAAACTAATCCCTTTTGTTTGTGGTGTATGGCAGGTGCTATTTTACTCCGATCTTTGGTAGAAGTATTGCTTTTAATTCCATATTTGCTGTTCATATGCTTTCTTGTGAACATGCAACTCAAGCAGTTGCTCAGTGTTGGGTAGCACTGGCACTACCACGTGCCCATAAAGAGCGATAGCTGTCTGGAAGATGAGTTGGTGGTGATTGTGTCAGGAAAGAACTTGTTCAGGTAGGCTGATGCAGAAACTAGCCCTTAATAAATTTACATATAGAGAAAACAACTCTCACATGTGGGTTCCACTGTACCAGAGAAGACAAGGCAATATGGGACTCTTGGGGATGGGTCAGATCTTTCATGTCCTGTGAAGAGTCAGCCTCTCACATGGGTCCCAGATGCCAAGGTCTACTGATCAGTAAAGGGAATTTCCAGATGATGTTGCACCATAGTTCCCATTCCATCGCGTACTGACCACCATGTGTGACTTAGATAAGGGCTACATGCTGTGTAGGGAGGAACGCACTAGGAGTTTCGACATGGCCTGCCTGCAGGGAGGAGTTTTTCTCCTGATTCCTTAATGTTTATTTTGGGTGGGTTATACCTATAATCAGTAATTGCCTTCTTATAATGTATGTTTACTTAAGTTTTCGTCAATCCTGATATGCCACTGGCCTTGGTGATTATCCTTTGTAATAAATTAAAAAACAAACAAAAAATCTAGCTCTGTGTCACATCTGGGAAAAAAAAAAAAAGCCCAAAAAATCCCTTTTGACATATTTGTGCTCATCTTTCTTAATTTTCACAACTACTTTGTTAACAGTAACTCCTCTTTGGAATCCATTTTCACACTTTTCTTTTAATCCTTATCCTCTACCTTTTAATCTCTTGCGATGTGAATCATCCCAGTCTTTTTGTGTTCTCTTCATGTTAAATTTTTTTCCTCTGCTTCTGATGATTCTCATCACTCACCCCTCAACTCTATTTCTGTATTTCCTTTTCCAGGTGAGTGCTCTTCCTTTGTTTACTTAGTGGGCTTCCTATATCCTTTATCACTCGTTTCCTATTTCTATTTTCTTTAGATTTTGGTCTGTTTTGTTTTTTAAATAATTGCTGCACATTTGCAAAGGTCTCTATTGACCTCTCCATGCCAGGAAACTCCTCTCTTTTTTCAATGCCCCTGACCAGTGAAGAATAGCCCTTTGAGCCCGAGGGACTGCAGCATGCTGTGGCTGGATTACGGGCTGTACTGGATTCATTTGTTTTCCAGAGCTCATGCAGAGTGTTCTGAATGCGGGTGCTGTATGGTAGAAGAGTTTCTCTAGAAGGGGAGCAATTATTTTTGCAGACACTCTCTGTTGAGGGACAGTTCATTAGAATCACAGAATCAGTAATATTGTCTTACTTAAAAATTTCATTCCTATACAAATTTAAAATGATGCATTTCAGGCAGTATCTACAGAGAGTAAGAACTTAGAATGGAAATATGTTTTTGAAAACTTGAAGATACATTAGGGGCAGTTTTATATATCAAATGCAGAAGCACTTCTGAAGTGAAGAAGTAATATGTTTATATTAACTAGAACCTGAGTGTCCCATGACATAGTGAAAGAAAGACTGAACTCAGCAGTTAAAAATGAATGTTTTGAGTCTCACATTAAAATGTTCTGTAAGGAATAATTATTAACTGAAGCTTTATACTTCTCTGAGATCGAATATCTTACTCATACATGTGTATCTCTGGTTGTGAGCCAATTTTTCCGTTTTAATCTTGATTTGTAAAGTTGTTTCAATGAATAAAGGGTGAAGGACAAATCCAAATAAAACTGTTTCTTGATGTGTTTATCTAAGGGGCCCCAGGAAGTGCTGTATATGAGTTCCAGGCCACAGGCTGAAACTGATTTTCATCAACATAAACGGGAATGCAATGTAATGAGTCTGCAACTGGTTAAAATCAGACCACTTCTAATTGATTATGCCTGTCTAAAGGGGCTACAATTACAAAGAGATTTTCAGTGTACAACCCTGTCTGGGCCTTTCCTACGTTACGATTATTTTCTGTAAGTGATTTGTTGTCTTCAATTAATAAAATCTGTCTCTTAAAGTGCAGGACAGCCCTTAGGGAATTTACTTCACAAATTCAAAACAATTTAAAATGTCAGATAAGGAGGGCAGGGAGTAATGGATACCAAAAGCATCTTTTTCCAGCTAAATTTTTATTGCTAGCCAAATTAAGATCATTTATCTTAAACCAAAACAACAACAAAAACAATGACAACAGCAACCAAACAAAAACCCCTATAGTTATTCTGATTTGTGGATTTGGACAGAAATGTTACCTGATTCATGTCTGTTGGAAAATACAGCTTTCTTTTCCTGAGTTGATATGCGAAATCTGGAGCCTTTGTTCCATCTCCTGATGAGGGTCTTCTGATGTACAGAAACAATACATAATGCCAAGATTATGTAATTTATTTAATTTTTTTTTGCTTTTTTCAGTTACCATTTGCAGTTAGAATGCAGAAGAGACTGAATCAAGCCATTTTTAAAAACAGAAATGTTAAAATATTTAGATAAAAACACTATTTTTTCCTTCATTGGAAGCAAACAAAAATTCTTACAAGATCTACGATTAGCTAGGATAAGCTAATGCTCATCTGATGCTTCAGTATTAATAGTGATAAATAATAACATGCAGTCAATTTGTTCTTGCACACCTCTTTGATGTATTGTTTCCACAGTAACTGTTTTTACAGAATCACAGGTCTGAAGCCTTTCCAGTCTAACAATGGACTGAACAATGGTGGAACAATGCAGTCCTCTCCCAGAGGATTTTCTGCTGCTTGTATCCTGCTAAAGAGCAGTTAAGTTATTCCTCCATAGGTGAAACAGCACCGAAGTGGGTTGTTCAGGAACATGGGAAAGTTTCAAAACTTCACGCTTCAAACAGCACTGGAGGAAGCAAATAACCCTCATAAGAATTTTTGGAGGGGAAAAATGCCTCCGAGTCCAGGTGAGATTTACCAGGCATGTCCAGCCTTAGCTGTGTTTGTAAACGTGCAAGTCTTGATCTGTGGGAGTCAGGAGGAGGTCTCTCAAGCTGTCATGCTACAGATCCAGGTGAGGATATGTAGTGTCCAACTGAGGTTGGAGCATCCTACGATGCTCTCAGAAATGGGCTTTGCAAGGGGCAGAACTCCAGACTGCAGAGAGGCTATGCTGTGTTACAGTGCTTCAGAGGATAAGATTCCTCTCTGAATATTTGAACTTTTGACAGGCGTCACAGACATTCCTGCTTTTAATTCTTCTTCTGGAAATTCATGTGTGAAGCTAAACAGTAAGATGAGAGCGTTGCTGTGATCCTGCCATGTTGCTAACACAGGAGCCAGGGCAGTGCACTGTGGTGTAAGCTCAGATCTAGGATGCTCTTTCTGTCTGTAACAGATGACAAATGCCAAAAGGCAAAGTGGTCAGATTTTCTTTCTTGCTGGCATTTCAGAACACTTTTTTGATAGTATTGTGTACCAATTGTGAAGGATACAACTCACAAAAATATGCTTCACTAATAAAAGCACATTTTACCCTGTGTTGTGTTTAAAAAACAAAACAAAACATTTCTACATAAACAATATTCCATTGTGTCGATAAAGCAAGTCAATATAAATGTAATGGGGTGCAAAACACAGGTCAGGGAAAAAATGAAAGGGAAAATCTACTAAAGATAATCCTGTCTGGTCATTCTTTTATCTTATATGCATGAGTATAGTTTATTAATATTTTGAGTTTAATGAGAATGAGAAGACATTTCAATAGGAAACCAAAGTTGTGAATCAGTAATTTAGGAGAAGAAGCCACTTGAAGTCTAGCCAGGCATTTTTCCCTTCTGCGTTTGTAGGGGAAAGATTTATAAAAGTTCTTGTGATTAAACAAACTCCAGTGTTGTTGTCGTCAGTGGTAACGAAGTTACTCAGTGTTTATATAATTAATCCTGTTCATAAATATCCAGTTTTGGTATCAAAATGCAGCAGCCAGTATTCTGCTCTCACTAATACATTTTTCCTTGAGTTTTGGAAACAAGCATTTCGATTTTCTTGCTGTCTTCCAAACAGCTTAACCTTTTGTAGGTACAGCTTA